TATGTTATGCTGTCCACCTTCAGATCGTCTGTTCTTTCTTCCACTTTCAGATCATCTTGAGCAATTCTTCTAAAATAGGAATAAATATGTCTTTGATGATAAGGCACTTATTGTATTTAATTTTTATAAGCTTTGTTCTTCCCTATTGGGATAAGATCTTATTCTGAATTCCTGATTAGTTATGTTCTTTATGAATAACAGTATTATTAAAATAATGATTGCATTTTGAAATATTTGTTAATTATTGTGTGTATGTGTGTTTATTCATGTATATCTATACTTGATCTCAACGTCCTTGACAAGACTTGACTTTTTTTTTTTTTTTTTTACTGTTTGTATCACAGAATCCAACACTGACTTTGACATAACCATGAGGTCATTTTATTACTAACTGATCCTCTAGTAGGAAATAAAAAAATAGAGTAGAATTAAATAAAATTCCAAAATTCAGGAAAAATTTTCTGAAATATGAACACAGTTTTCTCATTTGCAGATGAAGATTTGAGACTCAGAATAAAGTGGTTTACTGATGATTTCAAGCTTTAACCTTTCAGGTGCTAGCAGGATTACTCTGCCATCCTGTTTTCTGCCCAGAGGGGATTAGCCTGGTTACTTTATATCCAAGCTTGCAAACTTTCCAGTTTTAACATGGCAGACAATGCTACACATCACTACATCTCATCTTTTTTCCTGGTTGGTATTCCTGGTTTGCAAGCTTTTCATTGCTGGATTGGCATCCCTGTCTTCCTCCTGTTTGCCCTGGCCCTACTGGGGAACAGCGTAATCATCATCACCATCAAACTAGAACCAAGCCTCCACCAGCCTATGTATTTCTTCCTTTGTATGCTGGCAGTGAATGACATGGCTCTTGCCTCTTCCACAGCCCCCAAGATGCTTGGTATCTTCTGGTTGGATGCTCACAGGTTTGATTTTAGTATCTGCCTAGCACAAATGTATTTTATCCACACATTCTGCATAGTGGAGTCAGCCCTCTTGGTTACCATGGCGTTTGACCGCTATGTAGCTATTTGTATCCCACTGCGTTATACAGCCATCCTGACAACACCAATGATCATTAAAATGGGTCTTGCTGGTATGACCCGAGCTATTTTTTATGGTTTTGCCCTGTCCTCTTCTTATTAAAAGGCTACCATATTACACTAAATATGTTATCAACCATGCCTACTGTGAACACATGGCTGTGGTGAAGTTGGCCAGTGCCAACACCCTCATTAACAGAGCATATGGAATCTCTGTGGCCCTTTCAGTGATGGTGTTGGACCTAGGGCTCATCCTATGAGCCACATCCTATATTAAAATCCTCCAGGCAGTCTTCTGGCTGTCTTCCCAGAATGCCTGCTCGAAGGCACTGGGCACCTGTGCTGCCCATGTCTGCACTATACTTGTGTCCTACACACCTGCGCTGTTTAGTTTCCTAACTCACCGCATTGGCAAGAAGGTACCTCCAAGCATTCATATAATTTTTGCAAGTTTGTATCTTTTGGTGCCTCCCATAGTCAATCCTCTGGTGTATGGTGTCAAGACCAAGCAGATTCGTGACCGAGTGGTTAGTCTCTTCTTTCCAAACAAGAAGATTTCTGAAAACTAAAATATTTAAATACAAACCCATATAGGCAGAATCTGTTTAATACAATTATGGTACATTCATAATAGTTGCAGCTTTGTCTCAACATGATATTTCTCAATTCATTTATACCTCTCAGCAGGGATATGTGATGTTGTACATTTTTCTCTCTATTTTCATTTTTTAATATTTCCTTTTCTTTCTCTTAGAAATAAGTTTCATGGGAAGCTTTCAATAAATATTTGCAATAATTGTTATTTATTTATTATTGACATTACTTTGTATTCTATATTTGTGGATAATATTTTATAATATTCAAAAATGTGAAATAACTAAGATTATTATAATAATTTTAAAATTCTCAGTACATTGGACAATGTAATTTATAAACATGATTTTTTTCCCAATTCAATTGTTACCTGCACTGATTAAAAAATCCTGAGTAAAAGTCATTATTTTCAAGTTTCATTTTTCTTATTGTAATAGTTATAATAATTGCCTAACATTCAAATAATGATCACTGTGGGTTTGGCTGTTTACTAATCTCTTTATATGCATTTACTCCTTTTGTTCACAAAACTATACTGTGATATAGATATCACTGTACCAAGTAGGAAACTGAGGCACAGAAAGTTTAAGTAAATGGCATAAAGGTAACTCGCCTAGCACAAAGCAATGCAGAATTGAACCCAGGAACTCTGGCTTTCAAAATATATACTCCTTATAGTGCAATATTATCCACCAATGTGCTTACAATTACTTGCTTTATGATTATGGGAGCTTATTCCTCTAAACACTTTATTTTTTTATCCCCCACATCTTCCTTTCTTTTAGATATTGTGGTACATTTCTTCAGTTTTCTTAAAACTCCTTGTAAGTGATAAATCTACTACAATATTTTGACAAGACCCCAAGCAAGAATTGCTTCTATTTTACCAGAGAAATGTCCAATCAGTATAGCCTGGTAACATTATAACTATGCTTTCCAGACTTAAGTAAAAACGCTAAGAAAATCTCTGAAAATACTACTTTATCCACATGCCATTCCCCCCTCTTT